GCTCTCACATGCATACCAGGCAATTGGAAATATCATGGCTTGTGTCAGGCGCACCTTAGTCCTCAAGGAGATATCCTTGCTCCTCAGCACTTGAAACACTTGAAACTGCGAAGGAACTGTTTCAAGTGCTGAGGAGCAAGGATATGCTTTATCTAGAAAGGGAATTAATTAGCCGGAGTTGTCCAGCATAGTTTATTTCAGTTGCTGTGGAACATTGAGTAAGGTACAAAGTCAGATTTGTAAGCAGCCTAGTTTGTAAAACCATCCTGCACTGTGAACAGTCTCTTTGCTGCTTTTTGGCCTCAGTCCTTCTCCCTCATCCCACAGCTGTGTTTCCACTGGGACCAGTCTCTCAGGCAGAAGAACGTCTTCACTTTCAGTTCCACTTGGTTAGCACTCCTACAAGCAGAACAGCTGTCTGTGGGCCATCGGGCCACGCAAGGATCAAATGCAGGCCCCGGCTGAGATCGCAGGGTTTCAGATGTGTGCATGTGGGGTGGACACTTAAGCATTCCTCTGGAGGCAGGTGAAAAGGAGGTGAATGTTTATTGGGTGCAATGTGATAAGCCCTCAGCTCAGTCAACGCTCAGTTCCCTCAGAAGCTATCCTTGTTTTTATGACTCGACTCAGAAAAAGCTCTTTATCTTTTTTTTTAATGTAACTTTTTACTGTGATTAGATTAACAGTTTACGGAACAAATTGGTTTTCCATTCAACCAAACTAAACCCAACGCACTGCCACTGAGTCGTCGTAGTGACCCCCATTGGGTTTCTGAGGCTGTAAATCTTCACTGACGTAGATCAGCTCCGTCTTCCTCTGCAGAGCAGCTGGTGGGTCTGAACTACTGACCTTCTGGTTAGCAGTCCAATGCCTTATCCACTACACCATCAGAGCTGCATTCAACATTCAGCAGAAACAGATCGTTATTTCAGTTTTCAACTTTTTGATTCAAGTTTATAAAACATATCTCATTTGGGCCCGTAGACTTCATACTTCAACAATTTCATACTGTTTGAGGGACAGTCTTTTTCTAGAACTATTAAGCTTTCTAGAACTCTTGCAAATATTGTGCTGGATTTTCCCTTTCTCCTCCAAAAAATTAAACCAAACAAAGCAGTCACTGTGTGTTTGAATCAATCTAGACCTAGACTTGGTTTAGTGTTACTCAGTTTAGCATGTAGTTATTGAGCCTGCTGTACGTGTTCAGCTGTGGAATGGGGGGGCAGACTGTCTTGTCCTGGGAGTCTGTAATCTTATTGGGGAGATCGATGTGCACATGTACTAAATAAGTCAAGAAAAAGGCCTTGTGCTTCAAGTTCAGTGGCTGAGGTGTAAACAGCGTGCTGTGCCCTGGTTGACACTCTCTCTGGTTGTTGGTTTGAGGAAGACTCTCTCAAGAGGTCTCCGTCCTGTAGTCCAGGCCTTGATGTGTTGGGGAATATGATTTTTCTTTGGTAGAACCTTAGGCTTTGTGGTGGAGAATTTACTAAAAAGGACATTGAACTAAATTAATTAAGATTATAGTCTGTGCTTTTCAAACTTGGTTTTTCCTTTTTAATTCACCAAGGCAAGCCAGTTTCTACCGGAAGCCACGTCAGCAGCATTATTCCTTCTTTCTCTGGACATGCCCTTTTCTTTGGAATACCCAAACATCAGTGAGGCTGTGGTGGCCTACTTGGAGCAGCTGAATTCTGAAAACTACAGTATTTACAAGAGGACGGCCGAGGTCGTTTATTCACTTGAGTGTACCTGTAACTTCATAGTGGATGTGGGGAAGAAGGTAAAAATCTTTCACTGTCTCCTGCGAGTCCTTTGATGAACTATTTAGAAAATTGAACCTATACTCTTCAGATACATGGACGTGTAACAATTGATCTGTTAAAGATGGAATGTAGTTATACCTGAGTGGGTCAATTACCATATTTTTACAAATAACGTGACCGTGGAAAACAACACGCCTACACGTATAACCACCGTGCACCTAGAAAGTGTGTTACTGTGTAAAAATAAGATAACAGATTAAAGTAAGGATATGCTTAGTACCAAAGTAAAACCAACACTTTAGATTAATGAATGGAGTGTGTTACTAACATCAGTGGTTAAAAAAGCAGAAATGATGGCAAATGTCTTAATGCTTACAGTGAATTCTTCTTTGTGAGGCCCCTGTGGAGTTTGCCTGTGAACACGTGTGCTCGGTCTCAGGGTCTCTGAATGCCCTCATCTCTTGAAGCTACTTAGTTAGCTCTCAGAGATTTTACAGTACATGAACTTGAGATTTACTGTTCCATTCTGTTTCTTTTTCAGGGGGAGAAGAATCTCGTAGAATTACTGGAGCTGGCAGACCAGGCCTTGCGTAGCTTTTCTGTCCATCAGCATTTCCCTCTAATAAAGGAAATCATCTGCCTTTGTTCAAAGATGTAATATTTTCTTTCCGAATCTACTTACATTATTACAGGAGCCTGTGTTTGTGTATGTGTGAATGTGTGCATGTACATGCATGCTCATGCTTTTATACTGAGGAGTTGTGACAGTGAATCTGATCTTAAATCTTGTATTTGCACTGAAATAGCTGTTACATGTTGACATTTAGGCTCTGTGTGCAGCTGCATGGGGCAGTTAACTGTCCCACACTCAGGAGTAAGCTTTAGAGATGCTACACTTGTGATCACAGCTCCTGGCTCGTTGTGCCGTCTGTCCAAGCCAAGGAGTCAAGCAAATTTGTTTATCATCTTACAGTCTTAATTAGTAACTTACAGGGGAATTTCTTTTCTTTTCTTTTTTTGTTATGTTACTTTGTGCCTCTCTCTTGCATGGATTTTTGGAAAGCATTAACCGCTGCTTAACGTACTCTGAGGAATCAGAGCCCATTCCAACCTAGAGTGGAGTATCTTCGTTGCTTTTTGAAAGAATTCATTCCAGGAAATGATACACATCCATGCTTTTTCTTTTATTTATTTTCCCATTATGCAACATAAATGAAAAGAATTTTAATATTTATTCTTATCAAGGCTTTACAATGACAGGGTAAGGCTACACGTTGTTAGGGATTGAATTTGCTAAGGCTATAGAATTTGAAAGATAAGAAAAGCTTGCAGAGAGCCCAGAAAGAGAAACGGGAGTGAGTACTGAGATGGAGAGTGGGTCGTGGTGGTCGAGGAGGAGCTGGGAATTGTTTATTCTGGAAATGAAAGGCTGCTGCAAGGTGTTAATTTAAGTTAAAAAAAAAAAAAACCACTGAGACGTGGAAGGAGTGAGGAGGTGGTAGTATCTGCACCTGTGCAATTCAGGCAGCAGGTGAGGATTCTCTGTCGCCTTGGAAGCTTGGCTGAAGGGGAGACAAACTGTATTACAACCTTAAGACTTGACTGGGGGTTCTTACTGATGATTTGGGTTGTTTGTTCTCTTTGAGAGAGAATATTCTTTGCCCTGAAACCAGTCAGTGCTACGGGGAGTGTTTGCTGATCCCGGGGCAGTTAAGGAAGCCCCTGTGGGAGGGCTTAGACTGGAAGAAGCCCCTCCTTGCGTTCTGCACTCTGCTTTGTCTGGTAACTCGCCTCAGGAATCTTGGGTGTTTTGCCTTTTAACCAGCTGGAAATCCGCTCAGGCCAGTCCGTTGCTCCAAGGAGAGAGTCAGAAGGTGTTCCTGCGCTTGCTGGCTCACCCGTTGCTGGCGGTGAAGGTTGAAGCTTACCGCTGCTCTCTGGAAATCACTAAGGTGAGGTGGTGGGTGGTCCGTTGTTTGTTTGTTGAAGGGGTGGGGCGGGGAGGGAGAACTAGCAGTGAGCCCTCTTATTTGATCTCCCAAATTAAGTTCCATGAACTACATTAAGTAAACACTAAATTGCATTAAATGTAAGAATGACTTTCCAGAACAATAGACGGGAATTACTCTCATTCTGCGAAAGTCATGCTGTTAAACTCCCTCAACTTAATAAGTCTGGTGGTTGAATTACTTTATTAGAGATTTTATTATGATTTTAATTTTACTACATTTATTTTATTATACATTTATTTGGTGTCATTTGATGATGGGAAAGATTATAAAGCAAAGTCTTCAAAGGCCAAGTCTTTGAGTGATTGTCATGCCCAGGAAGCTTAAGGCTTTATGGCCTAGATTTTACAGTTTCAAGTCTGTTTTCTTACTCATATTTTTCTTTTCCTTTCACACAACATTTATCTAATTATATTTTTGAATTGTAAAATACTTTGTTGTACAGTGATGCCTAGACTATTAAATGCCTGGCGTGTCAGTGTTGGAAAGAGCATCAGGCCATACGGAAAGGTCTATTCTCCCCTTGCTCACGAAAGCACCCTCTTGGTTTTGACTCTGAAAGAAAAGCAGTTCATGGTCATTACCCTGTTCTGGTCCAAGGTCATTACTTGTACGTAGGTGTGTAGCTGTCTTGGTAACAGAGGTCCTGAATGTTTGTTGTGTCCCCAGCCCGAGTGCAGTAACTTGAAGTGTGTTTCACTTTGCTTCTGTTTCTCTCAAACCTCAACAGGTAAAACTCAAGTCTTAGGCTAAGTTTGTTATTTTGTTTATGTCTTTCTGTCTGTAATATGAACAACTCTAAGAGATTCTGGTGGTCTCAGCAGGTTGTTCATGTAATTCATCAGGACTGCTTGTTGCCAGAAAATATCACAAGCCTCTCACCTGACTCACAGATGGTTAGGCAAGAGGCTCTCTTTATCCTCCCTCGGCGAAGAGAAAGTTTTAACAAACAGAAAACTAAAATGAACAGTGAATTAGAAACAAGAGAATCCTTAGACAAATCTGTATCATTAGTTTTGTAAAATATGTTTCTGTATTATTTTACAGGAATGCTTAGGGGTCCATAATGTCACTAAACCCGTGTCTTCAGTTTGTAATGGGATTCATTTTCTACTTCATCCAAAAGTTCTATATGAAATCTCCACATTTGGCATTCAAGAACCCAAAAATGAGGTATGACATGTGAAGGATAAATGTGAAAGGCTACTACTGCGATTCTGTTGGTTCTCAGCTAAGTTCAGGCAATATACTGTAATGAGGTAGTAGGATGGAAAATTGGAAGGAATCTTGTCTTTGATGTATGAGTTCAGTTGAGCTGTTATTTAAATGAAAAGAAATGTGGGGAATGGAGAGCACAGCACAGGACGTCCTTTTCTGAGAATTATGGTCATGCTGTTCAGTTATGTTTTTCTTCTGAGGCTCTGAGAACTATATAGAGCTACATAGAGCAGCTGGTTATTTCATTAAAGGAAATTTCTATGCATTGAAGGTAAAAAAAAAATGGAGTCCTGAAGGGAGGAGAACTGGTTGAGAATACAGTGTGGTGGTGGTGGTGGTGGTGGGTGCCGTCTGCTTGGTTCTGACTGAAGTACAGTGGAACAGAAGGCTTCCCCGTCTGGCACTAGCCTCACGTCGTAGCTACTCTCACGCCCTTTGTTGTCATCACTGTGCTAGTCCATCTCATTGAGGGGCTCCCTTGTTTTGGATGACTCTCTGCATAAAGCTCTTCTCTAGCGACTGGTCTCCCCCGATAATGTGTTCAAAGGATGTGAGATGAGGTTTCGGCATCCTTGCTTCTAAGGAGCATTCTGGCTGTATTTCTGAAGAGACAGCTCTGTTTCTTCTTCTGGCAGCCCGTGGTATATTCGGTATTCTTCGCCTGCCATAATGCCAGTGCGTCAGTTTTCCCCCATTCTGCCTTACTCATGGCCTAGCTTTCACATGCCCATGAGGTGATTCAGAGTACCATGGCTTGGATCAGGTGCACCTCAATCCCTAAAGTGACAACTTTGCTTTTGAACACACTAAAGAGATCTTTTGCAGCAGTTTTGTGCAATGCAATACGTTGTTTAATTTCTTGATTGCTGCGTCCATGGGTGTTGATTGTAGATCCAAGTTAAATGAAATGCTTGATAACTTCAGTCTTTTCTCTTTATGTCATGATGTGGCTTATTGGTCTAGAATAGAGTATAGATGAGCAATGGAAGTAGGAGGATTTGCAGGAAGAGATGCAGCTTGTAGGACCGTTCTGGACTTTAGCAGGAGTCCTAGATCCGCGAGATGCCGTGGTGGAGCAGCTCAGTCACTGGCCCGTTCTGTGTTGTTGGTTAGGTGAATGCTGCCGCCAAGGCCATCCTGATGTACCTGCTGCAGGGACGCTTGATGATGACAGCGCTGACCTGGACCAAGTTCATCGAGGCTCTGTGCCCCGTCCTCCCTGTGCTGCAGGTGGTCTGTGTGGTCCTCCCGTCCGACACACTGTTGCTGAGAGCGATTGATGGGCATGCATGCAGGCAGTAGGACTGCCGTGTTGTGAGAGCAGTGAGGGAATGCTACAAGGCTTTGGATGAGCGAGCAGGAAGTGTGACCCTTGCTTCTGGCAGAAGGTTAAACCAGGACAGCTAATCTGCCTGTGTTACTTTATGTGTCTGGATGGAAGGTGAGCATGTGAAGAGCAGGCATCTGATAGAAAAATAGGACTCAATTCTGTAGAAAGGCGTGGGGCGAAGCTGCAGTGCTTGTTAAGGTGGCTTTACATGATGCAGCTTGCCTCCTAAATCAGCCATTCCTGTGTGTGACTAGACTGATACCCTTTCCTGTGGGCAGTAAAGAAGTGAGGAAGTTCAGGTCCCTGCGTCTGTCAGAACAGAAGGGGAGATGGAGCGTGGTCATAGGTACGATTCTGTTTTGGGAAGAGAGCCCAGGCCTTGGGCCTTGAAGCTCGCTGTCTTGTTCCACACATCAGTTAGTGTGTGCGCCATGCCACCTTCATGCTCGGGTTGGGAAGGGGAAGGTGGGGAAGCAACGCTGCCGGCATGTGGAAAAAACACAGCACAAGTGTCCAGAGGGCCACATAGTTCCCATAGTTTCTCTACTCTTCTTTGCCTTTTAAATTTCTTTTGGTCAAAGAGTGTAACAAAACATTTGCCATTTGAGCCCTTTTGATGTGTGCAGTTCAGTGACATTAATCACGCTCACAATGCTGTGCAGCCATCACCACTTACCTGTTCACCCAGGGGTTTCGTCTCCCCAGACAGACTCAGTGCCCCTTAGACAGTGACTCCCCATGCCCCTCTTCCCACTGTCCCTGTCCATTGGCCTATTCCAGGCATTTTGTGTAAATAGGATCATAGTGTTCGCCTCTGGCCTCTGACTACCTTCACTCATGTCCTGTTTTCGGGGTGTGTCCGTCTGGTGGAGCTTGCGTTAGAACCTCATTTGCCTTTAGTGTGAATAACTTCCACTGTGGTTGAACCACATTGTGTTTAGCCAGTCGTCCCCTACAGACAGCTGGGCGGTTGCCACCTCTGGCTGCACTGCCCGTTGGCCACATGTGTGTCTGAAGCCCTGCCATCAGTCTTCGACGTGTACCTAGGAGAGGAATTGCTGGGACCTGGGTAATTTTATGTTTGGTTTTTGAGGAGCCTCCAAACTCTTTTCCTCCAGGTTATTCTTTAAATGCACTTGTATTTAAGCTCCTTGCCTCATGCAGGTTATTTTGAAAAATGTCTGTTTTATGCTGCTGATTGAAACTAAGTGTATGAGTTGCTTGATAGGCCAATGCAATTCTACAGGTTGGAAAGTTGTGCAGCATGTGGACAGTGAAGCTATATTTTCTCTTTTCGAAACTCTCTCAGGGCTATGCAGACCCAGAGGACACTCTGGGTAACTGTATTCTCCTCCTGAGCACAGTGGGTGCTGAGGCAGAGGGGGCCCTCCCACACACCACCTGGCTCAGGTCCGTGCTGCGGCTGTTACTGGTGAAGAAGCTGGCGTGAGTACCGAGTCATCCTCTTCTGACTGCGGAGGTTAACGGAGATGTGCTAGGAGAGGGTTCCATCTGCGGGGAACTGAATGGGATGGGCGGAGGGCAGGGCAGGTGATGAGTGAGACCAGGGAGAATCAGCGCCCACTAGAGGTGCTTCTGAAACATTGTCCAATTGTTGGGCCCCCCGTGTCCCAGCACTCTTGACCCCGAGTGCTGTGCCTTTGTGCCCCAGGCTGTATGCAGAGCCACCAAAGGGGACAGACTGCAGATGTTGTGGGGCCTTCCTCCCCATCAGAAATGGAGAGCTTCTTGGAATTGCCTTTTTCTAAGACATTTCTTCTCACAAATAAGTTTATCATACAAGTGCAGGGCCAGTAGCCTCCTAAACCCTAGAATGCAGGCATTTTCCTCTCATTTGGTTTGTGCTCTTACTTGGAAACTGAAAAATTGTCCTTTCCTTGATGATTATGTGTCAGTAATGTCCCAGCCATGTCCTATTTTCTGTTAGATTCAGCGGGTGCCCAATAGCTCCCACCTGCCTTAAAACCAGTAGCATGCTAGAATTGCCATCCAGCATTTTAGATTGAATCTGCAGATTGACTTCTGTAAGTTGATTGATGTTGACTGTGAGTCCATCTCTTCATTTGTGATTGTTGGTTATTCTTTGTTTCTGATGTTTGTTTTTCAAGCACTATAAAACTGAATCAATAGTCGGAGTTACAAACTAGGATTTAGAATAGAAAATATAAAATCATTATTAGGAATGTCACAGTATATACTAAGTATGGCTAATTTGTTGATTACAAATTTTATTGATATGTGTCATCTTTGTTGATACATAGTAACTCTTTGTAAGTATAGACTTTTGTAATTTGTAGTCATTTGTACATTGCAGATACTGACCGACATCTATGTCTTTAGGGTCCGCTCTGTAGCATTAAAGCTTTTTGCATTTCTTCTTACGAATGAAGATGGGGCCGATAGGAAGCGCCCCTGCGTAGATGCCGGCGTGCTCTCCAGACTTGCCAATTTATTTATCGTGAAAAACCCCATCGAGCTCAAATTGGATGACAGAAGAGAAGCAGTTATTAAGGTGACTGTCACTTGAGAGTGTTACTGTGGTCATTTGATGCATTGCTATGTCGCATTTTATGTTACATCCTCAAGATTGTGGTTGAACCGGGAGGACAAGAAGCAGTAGCATTGGGTGTGGTGGCTCATGGCAGTTCCATCGGGCTTCTGGGTACATTTATTTTGTGATTAGGTATCTCTTGGGTACCTACTGTGTGTCAGGCATGTCTCTCTTCATTTAGTATATATACTGGAAATACAAATTAGTTTCAGTAGTGTCCTAGATAGACAGACAGAAGGCTAATCAAGCAGAATGACATTTTCTGATGCATTTTCAAAACAAATATCCTGATAATCAATACTATTGAGAACTGGAAATTGAAAAAAAAAACAAAACAACCCATAACCACTGTTTTTAGCCTTTGTTATCAGAGGAAAAAACAACATCATAGGCCAAGGTGGCTTCTCTGGAAGGCTGAGTGGTTCAGACAATTAGTGGTTAATCTCTTTTCTGAATCTTTAGCCCAAGTATCCCTTCCGAGGTCTAGCCCCCATTTCCCTGCTCCCCTGTTTCCTTTTGCCCTGGTGCCCTCTTTCCCGACTTTGACTGGGATTGGGCCCAGATCACCCTAGGATGTGGAATTCCATGACAAGTCATCCACCTGTTCTCTGGTGGCATCTTCCCTGTGTTTTGTAACTTGGCCTGGCCCTTTATTTCTGCAGCCCCTCAGGTTTGTTTATTTTAGCCCAGTGCACTGAAGCCCGTGGTGGTTTTTCCTGGAGAAGTAGACGTGTTTGGTGTTCCTCTAACCTATGTGTTGGGGACCGCATGCTAGCCATGGCAGGAGCATCAGGGGCCCTCACAGCCAGCTCAGCACCAGGCTGGGACTCACTGAGCAGTGGTCACTCCCAGGTGCTGCGGGGACGTGGGGGCCAGGCCGAGTGTTCTGGGACTGTTTTTTTTTAAGTCCGCACTCCTATAGGGCAAGGAGATGGCTCTGGGTGGGGGAGGAGTTGGTTTGTTCTTTTTCTCCACCCTTTTTCTGTCACAAGCTTTGCTGTCCCAGACTATGTCCTGGCATGAAGTGATGTTGAGAACTGGTTGTGATGGTAGCTTTGATGGAGCACTAGGCAGCAGGTCCCTTCATGCTGTCTGCGTGGGGATCTCTCAGGAGGGAGAGGGAGCTGGTGGGGCTCCAGCGGGGGGCTTCTGGGAGCCCCAGGTTCCTGAGGCGCTTGGCTGCGGTTGCCTTTCTCAGGTGAGCCCAGCACCACCTGTAGAGACAGTATGTGAGTTGGGTGATTTCCGTGAGATTCTCACAGTCCTTGATGGGTGGCTTAGAATTTCTCCCTGGTGAAGGTGCGCTTTAACAGGAGACGCTTATTGGACACGGAGGCGCTTTGGCTCTGGGCCCAGTCCATCCTGAGTACAACACTTCATGTGATTTTCATCTGGACGTCAGTTAGCCAAGTCAGCCGGCGTTGGGAGCCCGTCACTGTGGCATAGCGACAGCATTTGCCTGGAGAACTGCAAGCAGACGAAAATCGTATTTTTAATTTATTTTCAGGTGGAGACTGTTGAGAAAGTATATGAAATCTTTACCTCAGATGACATTGATTTTGTTTTGAGAAAGTCAGCTGCAGAGCAGTTAGCTGTCATTATGCAAGGTAATGTCTTCAAAGGAGAATGAGTGTTGTGTTGCTGGTAACAGTTTGGGTGGCTGTGTCTAGTGCATGGATCAGTGGACTCAGCTTTTCAGGCCAGATGCAGCCTGCAACCTGTTTTTGTGCAGCCAGCAAGCTAAAACTGCTTTTCACATTGATAAAGAGCTGTGCAACCAAAAACCAAAAAAGAGTGTACAACAGAGACTATACGTGAGGAAATCCACACCCACTAACCTGGAGTTGACTCTGGCTCACAGCGCCCCTAGAGGACAGAGTGGAATTGCCCCACAGGGTCTCCAAGGCTGTCAATCTTCACAGAAGCAAAGCCCAAGCCACACCCACTGCCATGGAGTCCATTCTGACCCACAGCGCCCCTAGAGGACAGAG